GTGTGTGTGTGTGTGTGTGTGTGAGTGTGCGTATGTGTGAAACCGAGGAGGAAATAATAATGTTAACGAACGTATCGAGCGCACAGGAAAACGAACGCTTGCTGGAAACTAAATCATAGACAAAAGAGTCAATGAATATATTAACGAATTTAGAATTTTATATAGAAGCATAACGTCAAATATTTTACGTCTGTTTAAAATACTTATCATTTTGTGTCTGCGCAAATCATCATAATATGTTTCGTAATACTATAATGATGGTTAAGGCATTTCAAAAATATTATTTTTACTTTTTCTATTCTCTCAATATGTAAAAGGGGCTCCATACTGTTCTGCGAAAATCAAGGCTTGAACGTACAAACGAAAACTATAAAAACTTGAGACTAGTACCCTCATTAAATGGTTTTGTTATTCTTAAAATGAAACTCAAACTTTGAAAAGCTTTAATTATAATCTAGCCTATATGAGAGTTAAAAGATAACTTTGAGTCTACGATTAAGCTAAGATCTCTAGTTGTGGTAACCCTTTTTAGAGTGATGTCACTCAGATACTATTCAACGTATATTTGGTTAAATTTACGTGAAAAAGATAGCACATAACATTTGTCAGTATTAAGATATAATTGATTAGCAACACAATATTTTTCTAAAGCAAACAAATCTGGCTGCATTTTGAGACAGTCATCTCTTGGCTTAACTATTTTATATATTTTGGCATCATGCTGAAGAAAGAAGATTTTGACTCTCTTTTAATACATGTCCAATGTCATTAATATATAAGGAGAAAAGAAGCAGGCCTAGATGAGATCCTTGAGGAACATTTGAAGGTACAAGTAGAAATTTTGAGGTAAATCCCTTAAAACAAACGGATGGAATACAATTTTTTTATGTAAGATTCAATCCATTTGAGGAGGCTACCAAGTATACCTGCCTTTGAGAGCTTTGCAATTAGAAACTATAGATAATTTTGTCAAAGGCCTTAGATCAGCGTACACGACATCCACCTGTAAATTGTCATCCGTGGCTCTCTGCAAATATTCCGTGAAAATTATCATATTCGTATCAACACTTCTGCCCTTGAAAAATGCGTGTTGTTCTTCGGATATATATTAACGAGCAGAGAGTGATAAGTAAGTGTTAATAAATTTCTCAAGAACCTTCCCCAAAACATATAATTTTGATATAGGTCTACATTCGGTTACTATATCTTTGTTATTATTTTTTGGAATAAGCGATAATAAAGAGTATTTCTATATGCTGGGGAACACTCCACTTTAGATAAATGTGATTTTGAATTAAAAAGAAGATGAATGAAATCTGAACCCGCGCCTTTATTGATATTGACTTGTTTAAATTCTTTACGAACTAAGTCAAAGCTGATATCAGTTAAATTAATATCTAAAGATGCAACTGAACTTTGACTACTTGGTACATTACTTACTGATATAAATACTGAATGGAAGTATTCGTTGAAATTATTACAAATATCTTTACCACCAGAAATAACTTTACCTATGTACAATATCTTTTCGGGAAAATCACTAGTGGCATTTTTTGATTTTATATAAGACCATAAAACTTAAGTTTTTAATTTTATTTTCTGAAAGTTCAATAAAGTTTTTTATAACAGTCACGCAACATTATTTAAATCTGCTTCTTAATAATGAAATAATTTTATAGTCACTCATGTTGCCCTATATCTTCCATTTTTTAAGGTACTTATATTTTTCCTTGGATACTTTTACAAACGGCTGTGTATTCCACACTGGGTATTTTAAAATACAATTAAAATTACAAACTCAAACTACACACACTACAAACTATTAATCTCGCTGTGATGAGGAACATCCGCTTGGGGACGATCTTATTTTTTTTTCAGGCAAATTGTAATAGAAGGTAATATTTTAAAATCGCGACAGAAATATGATGTACAGGCGATTGTTATATTATTATGCACTATACCTTTATTTGGTACTACTATACTACTATACCACAAATATAAAATTTGTTAACAACTTCACAAATTCTATATTTGTGAAGTTGTTAACAAACACGTATCTTTGAGCCAACGCTTCAACAAAGCAAATGTATTGTGTTAATGGTGTAAAAATATCCCCTATCGCATATCGTCCTATTGATGTCTCTCGAAAGGAGGTGACAGAGGGTAACAAACCAGGAGATGTTCGGTAGTGCATCTTCTAAATCATCATTATCATTTCAGCCCTTCACAAGTCCACAGCTGAATATAGGCCGACCTCAAGGAATGATATAAAGCACAGTCCTGAGCCACTTGCATTCATCGATTTCTAGCATGTCTTACCTACTAGTGCGGAGTGAGTCACTCTGTGCTGCCACTCGAGAACCTTTCTCCTTTATAAGTTGTCGATTCTTCGAGATTTATAGCCGGCCAATTGCTACTTCAGCTTACTAATACGTCTTTATAATAACAACAAAAAATTTCTGCCAAGTGTGGCAACTATGGCGAATATCCCTCCTAAGAGGCATACTATGGGGTAGGCCTACGTTACGTTACGTTCAATATTTTGTAGTAATGGTGATAAAGGAGTATGAAATCTATCTGACAGTAAATAGATACTGATCCAAAGACCAACCTATACATTATATACACACATCCTTATTCATACAAAATCGTTTGTTTACACTAATTTAAGAGTAAAAAGGGTAAAAAGTGGTATTATATTATATGTATATAATCAGAAAAAGTTTCCGTATCATGTGCTTAGTACATTTTCTTGTTCAGCTGTACTTTTACTTCCAAAAGATTATTTTAGGCTTTATGTTTTAGTACAGCGACATCTAACTATTGTTCTTAAAAGTAACAAACCTGACGGTTTAAAGGGTTCGTACATATAAAACTAAAACGTCCTGGGTAAAAACTGTAACCACAGATGTCGTTTAAACTATTGATGTGAAGACGTATATTTGTATTTATAAACGTATTATTATAATAATTAAACGTAAGCGTATTATTGTAATAATAAAATAACAATGATAATACAGTTGTTTTTTTTCATATAACAATTTTTTCATTAAAAATTTCACCATGTAACAAGTCAATCAAAATTCACTGCATACATTAAGGAAAAGTAGTACCGTAGTAGCTCAGGGGTTAAGCCCTCTCAGTAAAACGCGATCGACCCGGTTGTTATCCCTGCTAGGACCAATGAAATTGTAAATTGTAAATTTTAAGTGCTAATTTACAACATACTCGTAGGTGAAGAAAAACATCGTGAAAAGACCGGCAAGTTGGAGAAATAAAAAAATATTTTGAAGACAAGCAGAGCGACGGACACCTTCTTGAAATCCCTCCCGTAAATGAGAAGGCCTATAACCAGCAGTGGGAAGTTTGAAGGCTGTAACTTTTAAGAGGTAAAACGTTACAGTTGTACTGTCAGTTGATCCGCCGTATTTTAGTCAACTTCCATAAATGAGGAGGTTTACAATTCGACTGCATGTTGATTTAGTATATAACATTCGCTCTTTTATGAGTTATTTATTGTATATCTCGATTATAGAGCAATCATTGTATATGTTTAATTATTGTATATCTCGATTATCGAGAAATTACTCTGTATGTAGAACAAATGCAACGCAGAAAAAATATATTACGTCACGAAATACGTAAGAAACATTTTTTTTTCTTTCACCAAGATAACGCTTCGGCTCATAAATCCACCGTTGCGATGGCTGCAACTTGAGATGCTAGCTTTGTAATACTGTAGCATTCTCTTTACTCACCATACCTTGCACCTAGTGCTTTTTATCTTTTTCCGAGTTTAAAGGAGTAAAGATCTAAAGATTAGTAGCTACACTATAGGAATTTTAAAGTGCTCTGTATAGAGAGTTCTTTAGGGAGACAATTTCAGGCTTAGAAAAATACATTTGAAGCTTGTTAAAATAAAAAAAAATGTGCTCATTTATTGTCTAATTAAACTGATGACAAACGTATCTAACATGATTATTATAATGGAAAATGTTAAAAATATACTATTTTATTCTACTGGTGGGCAGTTGGAGGAGCTAGCGTCACTATCAACTGCAAGGAGCTAAAAAGAAGGCTTTCGGGCATAGAAGGCTATCCTCGAAAGCCTTCTCTTCTTTGATTCCCTGAAGGACTTCAAGCATCTTCACATGGCTATCAGTTAAGTAACAGGTTTCGGTTCCATATTTGTGAAAGTAGCGCGGCAAAGCAGTGACGCCAGCTTCAATAAAAGAGTTGAGATTTAAACGGTGCCAGGCACCATAGCAGAAGAGTCTTTATTTTAATGGTTTGGAAAAAAATATTTTGGCAAATATTTATTTGCGTTCGAAAAGTGTAGAAGAGAAGGCAGTGGAAATAAAATTGACATGTTGAGTCATTTTTGTTAGACTATCTAACAAATATTTTGGGTAAACATAGGTCTCCCTCATTGATTGCCTTATAGTAATACTTACTTACGTTTGGCTAGCAAGCTGGCAAACACAGTTTATTATTATTTTGAATTACTGGCAGATACTGCTGTCCATCTTCTGTTTCAGTTTCTCTTTGCTGCGTCTTAAGACACCCGCGGGAAACGTAATGGCACACACGTAAATATTTATGGATATTTGAACAAAAAGTAATCAAATATATTTACAACTTTCAAGTGAATGGTAAGATTGATGGATTGCGTACAATTATGTAAGTGTAGCTAGAAAAAATAGACTTCAATCATCAAATATCAAAGCAATTCTATTCACTAGTTGTGGTTATAATTGCGTGCATACGTGTAATATTAGCATAGAACAAAAATTAATGCCATCTTTCAAAAAAAGTAAAAAGGCCCTATTAAATGGAATGAAAAGTATAATCTTACATTTTTTTTTTTACTTTCTTTACTTATCAGATAGTATTAACTACTAAGATAATTTTAAAAACGAAATTGACATATAATCAGCATTATGTATTTAAACGTAAATACTAAATTAATGCTAAATAGTATTACAATAATTAAGATGAATTTAACGAAAACATAAATCTTTAAGTTCTAAAGATAGAAACTGATTTTCGTTTCTAACGTCTCTTATTTGAAAATCGATAACAGGTAAACGATGAACAACGGAAGTGACTATTGATATGTCAGTATACAGCCATTTTGATTTATTGTCACCCAGGTTCTGTAAAAAAATATGACATAGCTTAAATTTTGTTATACATCAGAATAAGCAGTTGAAGTTGGCCTAAATATATTGTGGCGGGTGGAAGGAAAAGGGGAGATCTCCCGCCGGGCAATGTGTTTTGCCCGGGGAGCGGCCAACGCTCCGAGTGGTAGTTCGGAGCTATTCTATATATTCTGCTTTAACTTCGGAACTTTGTTAGCGCGATTTAGGCTTCGATACGTTTTGCTTGTGGAGCGACGACAGCGCCGGCACATCAACTTTGCAGAATGGGAATCACGTCGGGGTCACCACTGTGGCCGGTGAAAAGTAAAAGGGGAGATCTCCCGCCGGGCAAGGTGTTCTGCCCGGGGAGCGGCTAACGCTCCGATTGGTAGTTCGAAACTATTCTATATATATATATATATATATATATATATATATATATATATATATATATATATATATATATATATATATACATACTGCTTTAATTTCCGAACTTTGTAAGCGCGATTTAAGCTTCGATATGTTTTGCTTGTGGCGCGACGACAGGGCCGCCACAACATCTATTTAAGGTATTAACTTAATTGCAAGCTTTAAACGGACTGTGAATAACAGTATAGTCACTGTGGGCAATACTTGTGGCTCTCCGTCTATTATTTTAATATTTAAGATTTTTTATGCATATTAGTTGGTAGTCAAAAAAGTTATATTGAAATTTCTCTTATATCATAATTACGTCACTCTCAGAAAAAAATGTAGGGATTTATGATATTTGTTAATTTTGATACCAATTTTTTATATATAGAATAAAGGTGTCAAACAATCACACATTCCACCTGATGGTTCGTGGATGCTGTGTCTCATAGACATCTATGTTTCTGCCCAATTAAGGATCAAAATGCAGATGCGTTGTCACCCCTGAGGTCTAAAATTGTTCCTTGTTTCCATTCAAAAGGGTCTCATATGCTCTACACTCACGATACGAAACACAGCAGAATTAAGCTTCCATTTTACTATGGTATACTGTGAGAGCGTGGTGCTACCAGGGGCGAGCCAACAAATTCATACTAAAACAATATAGCTGCATCGTGGCTCTATTAAAAAAAAAGTTCTATCAAAGTTATGAAAAATAACTATAGTCTACTTTTAGGTTAATTAATTTTCCATTTTCTTAAATTTCTTTTTGCTTCTGTCTAGATAGATGATATTGTTATACTTATTTTTTTTTACCACGGTGCAACCGTTGCTATATTCCGGTTTGAAAGATTTGACTTTCAGTATATTAAAAAGAACTATGTCTGGAAATGAAACAATAACAGCGCATTTTTAGTTTTGTTTGTTTAAATCAAAATCATATTAAGCCAATAAGAACACGAAAACCTTAATTCAACAATTATATTTCTTGGCTAAGTATGACACGTTACTGGTGGTATTTCACTAAAGTCAAGATAATTATATTAATTGACTTACCTTACAATTATTATTTAACACAGTGTATTTAAATGGCGTTGCTTCGTCAGAATATGGGCCTACTGAAACATCGTTCCACAACAGAAGACGTAAAGAGTTATCCTTGTTTTCTGACAGTACGACTGAATTTTTACAATGATATCTAATAGTAATCTTAGCTGAAGATGCTCGATCTTGTAAATAGTTAATTTGATGTGTAGATAGCTAAAAAATAATAAATCATTATTTTACTCCTTCACCTCCTCAGTCTTTTGACAGTCTATTGCTGGACATAGGTCCAAAGGAAGGAGAATTTGCCTAAAGCTTGCAAAGCGAACTTGCACTTTTTCATACAGCCAGCAGAAAAGAACCACGTCTCAGATCCATAAGTCATTATTGGCAACACGCACTGGTTGTACAATCTTGTTTTGAAGTTTTGAGGGATACCTGTTTAGAATATGTGTTTCAATTTCTCGAACGCTGCACAGTCGAGTTGAATCTGTCGATTAATCTCTCGGTCAAAATTGGACTTACCTAGTTAAACTATTTGTCTCAAGCAAACATACTATTCAATAAATTTGAGTGTAGACCTTGACTTTTACCTTTTTTGTCCGTGTTCATCTTGAGACCTATCCGTTGTGAAACACTATTGAGGTCATTAAGCATAGTGCTTAGGTCCTCCAGTAATTCTGCTATTCTGCTATAAGAACTGTATCGTCGGCAAATCGAACGTAAGTGATGAACTGGCCATTGATGGTGATACCGTATTCTTTCCAGTACAGTAGATTGGAAACGTCTCCCAATGCAGCGGTTAAAAGTTTCGAGGATATAATTATCGTCACCCTACCTACACCTCTCTGCAGATGTATGGGTTTCGTAGTCTGAACCTGTACTCGGATAGCCATCGTAGCTCTACTGTACAAACACTTGAGCACTTCGATTTACCGACAGTCAACTTGGCACCACTGAAGGGGCAGCCGTACCATCCTAATTTCGGCGGGATAAACGACTTTCTAATAGTCCACATACGCAAGACAAAATGATAGATTGCACTCTTTGGTTATATGCACAATTTGCCTGTAGGGTATGTATGTGGCCTATGGTACCAGAGCCTTTTCCGAAACCGGCTTGTCCGGAAAGTTGGAATTTGTCGACTCTTGAGTTGAGATGATTCGAAATGACTCTCAAAAACTGAGATTATCGCCCTTCTTTAAAAAAGACACCACCGCACTTCTGCTCCACGCCACCGGAGTAGTGCCACCATAGAGGACAGAACCAAAGAGCTTCGGAAGGATTTCACGTACTGGTTTTCCATCCGCTTTCAGAAGCTACACTGTAATTCCATCCTCACCTGGGACTTGTCGTTTTTAAGTTGCTGGAGAGCCATTATAATCTCACTCAACCTGACCTCCTGGATATCATTGGAACAGTGTCGAATAAATTGCTCTTGGATCATTACTCATCTCAAGCTGCTATTTTATGCTGCTCTTTAAATATACCTAAGCGCTTGGCGGAGCTTGTACCATAGCATTGATACACATAAAAATAGCGATGTAGTATGGGAGTTTCCTAAGTGGTAGCCAATCGAGTTTTAAGTATGATGACCGCACTATCACGCAATTCGGTAAGACATCTGGCACTGCGATCGTCAATGAGTATGTCAAGCGTGAAAATTGATCCTACTTTAACTGGAGATGCCCATATCCAGCACTTTACTTTCACGTGCCGATAATGAAAGATAGAATATTGTGGAACAAATTTGTGAATGTCCTCCACTGAAGAACATGAAAACCATCATCATTCATCATCATCAATACAGCCCTTCACAAGGCTACTGCTGAACATAGGCCTCCCCCAAGGAATGCCACAAATCATGGTCCCGAGCCACCTACATCCATTGAATTCCTGCATGTCTTACCAGGTCGTCACTCCATCGTCCATCTATTGGGAGGGGATGGCCTACACTTTGCCTGCCGGGACGAGGTTGCCACTCGAGAACCTTTTTTCCCATCTGTTGTCGGTTCTTCGAGCTATATGGGCAGCCTATCGCCACTTCACACCACTTTTTTACGTTGTAGAGCCATGCTGCAGCTATATTAAAAGTATAGTTGTAGTACGAATAGGTCGACTCGACCGGGGATGGACCGCACTCTCACAGAATACCAACGTAAAATAGCAGCATAATGCTGCTGTGCTTCGAATGGTGAGTGTAGAGAACCGGAGACCCTTTTTACTGGAAAAGAGGCATTCTATCTTAGTCCTCACGGCTGACAACGTATATGCATTTTAATTCGCAAACGAAGATAGATGTAGATGTTTATGGGCCACAGCAACCACTTACCATCAAGTGGACTGTGTGCTAGTTTGTCACCCTTATTCTATAAAAAAAAAAACTTCAGCTTATTAGTAAGCTGTTGGGCTATGTCAGTTACTTTGGTTCTAGTGTGGATATTCTAAGTCACGTATGCGAAGCAATATGGAATAAAATTATACATTTCAAACGTTATACAACAGTTTATTCACAAACAGTTCAAGTTAAGCAACAGAAATAGAAGTGTAGTGCTTAGCGAGACAAACTTCTAGGAAGAAAGGGAAATCTACTGCTTGGTGAACAAAAGTATTGTTTCATGATGCTTTTAATACTTACTCCATAAAAATCGTTGCTACTAAAGTTTAATTTGCTTAACCAGAATGGCTGAATTTCCGAGGTATAATTAAATTCTGTAGTTTTTTTTGCGGTCTCAAGACATGTCCAGCCGGACGCTTCACAAATCACTTCAAATGGTAGGAGTTCTTTCATCCATTTTGTACCTGTAGCAAAAAATAAAAGCATGAGCAAAAATAATTTAGGAGATATTTTTTTATTATATTAATGTTGGATCACAGTACATTATGAATAATATGAATCCACTACCCAGTACGATCCAGTGGATATCTAAAGAGACCATAGAGGTAAACTAATACAGGAGATGGGTAAAAGAATCTCCCTGATAACAACTAAACAATAAATAAAAAACTATGGTTGCCATTCCGCCTGTGAGCATGAAAACTATAGCAAATATGTGGGATACTGACGAGGAAATCTATGGGGGAGCAGAGGGCTATTGATAGGCTGTAATGAAAGAATAAATGTAAGAAAAGAATCTATAGCAATATCTTATGCAAAAATAATGATATTCACAACATTGCATGAATTATATGCTAGATGAATTTTTATAAAGAAAGTATCTTATGAATTGAATAATTATTTCAAATGATACGAATATGTGGACACAATGATCTCAAAAGTTTTGAAAGCATTTTAGAGTTGTGCATTTATATTCTATAAGATTAAAATTTTATTATTGGATAAATATTCTACTTGTGAGTCTCTTCACTAACACATCTTTTTACAAGCTTTCCTGCAGCAGCGTCTGTTAAAGCGTTAGCTTACTTTTCTTGATTTTCAAAAAGTGCTTTGTAGAGGTCAATTAGAATGAATTTATTGACATCTAATTTGTCCTAATTTGTCTTTAATATTGTACAGATCGAGAAAATTTTGCATAAGCAGGCACTTACTGTAATACTTAACCGTATAGAGTATCCGGAAACAGAATTTTTCGTGTTTTTTTTTATATTTTTAAATTATACCAGCACTTGTTCCAAGTGGAAGTAGAACGATAGATATGGAGCGGTCATTTTAAGTTTTTAAAGGTGGTAGGACTCCTTTTCTATCTAGAAGTCACACTGCGTATGTACCAGCCCCTTAACTATTTCTGCCATCAAGCAGAAGTGCGTGTACTGCTGTTTATGAGCAAAAGTATTTAGAATGCCATTATAATTATAGGGTGTGAGGCATTCCATATTGATCTTCAGAGTTGACGACGCATCAATAGCCTTTTTGTTCGAAGATGTTTGCAGGTATCCATGAGCTGAAGTAGCCACATACCATCAGGCAGACTGTGGTTCCACTTGTAACTACATTTTTTTAAATCTATTTTCGGCCTATTTTCTCTAACTTACACATAAAAAATCCTAATAAAATAAAAATTTCGACGTACATTAACACCGTGTTAAGTCCTTCGTGTAATAAAGTGCAACTTACCATTTACAATAACTTTTTCTTTATCTTTTTTATCCTTACACAGATCACTAACAGGCATTAATTCTTCAACTACTTCAATATATTCATCGTCTTTATCTACCAAACCAATCATTTCCATATGCCAAACAGACCTATCACTCATCACAACGCCCGGTAATCCACGAATTCCCTGTAAACCTGGTGATCCTGTATCTCCTCTTGGACCCTAATAAATTGAAATAATTATAATGTGTTTTGTTTTGGTAAAAACATACACGTATTTATTTACGTACTTGCGTCAATTTTAATGTATAATAATCTATAAACTGAATATATTAAGGCGGTAGCTTGAGCTACTAATTATTAACTAATTGTGTCTCTTAGCAAATCATTTCTCCGATTCTTCGACATCATCTGGTAAACGTTTTAACATATTGATGGGCAATAGCATATTCCTGATGAATACTTAAAATAATTTAAGAAAAACTGTGGTTGGTAGTTTGCCTACCAAGAGTGACAACTATGACAAATATGCCTATAGGACACTAAGCAATTCGATTAAAAATCAGATAATTACATACGTACATCTATGCCTTTGTCTCCTTTTTCTCCGGGAGATCCTGGCAAGCCTCTTATAAATGTTGTTTCCTGAGTTTTGAAATGAAATGTTATGTTAACAACGATGAAATTAAAAAAAAAGTTATGTCTATTATCTGAAATTATTACATACCATTTTTAATGAGCACGTATCTGTAAAAAATATTTTGTAAAAACATATTTATAGTTAAAATAAAGGTAAGTTGTAAAAAATTCATTAACAAAAGTAACAATAAACTCACGAATTTTACTTGTACACGTATCACTATCAGGAGTCGTTGCCTATCGGAAAAAAAAATATAAAAAGAATCTTCTATGCCAGATTCGTAAATGGTTTTTAAAACAGTACGAGTATTTTAATAAATTTTGGTAAAAACACTTACATCTTTTAATGTCTCTTTATCTAAAGGTAAGGTTGTTGGAATACCATCTGTAAAAAAATAACATTTTGTAACATATTTCGCATTTTAAAACAGTAGTAACATAGTAGTAATGGTCATTGATATAAACAAGAAGGCAGTCCACCACCAGACGTAAACCACCTTGATTGTTCACTTGTATTTTTTTTTTAAAAAAGTCTCACTTGGTTTCTTGCTGGTTCTTCTCCGGACAAAGGTTTTTTGTTTTTTACAAACCAGTGGTATTAAGCAAGAGTGACTTTCAATAATTATTATTTATAATCTTTAATGAATAAAAAAGTTTCTGATTCTGTTTTGGATTTGCATAAATTATGGCGCTTATGACAAATGATGGACACGGAAATATTTTTTTTACATATTTTATGCCAGTGCTTGACCACAATCCACCTGGTGGTAAATGGCGATGCAGTTCTAGATGGTAAATCACACTGTCTTACGTAACAAAAGCCTATTCACTCTTGCCTTGAAGACGCCCAGATAGATAACACTTTAATAAAACTCCTGATCGTATCTCATATGCTTTTCTTTGTAATTGGTAATGTGACTTTAGGCAAATGCATATTATGTGTTGCAACTATGTAACTCAATAACTACGAGTAGCGCAATAACTGCGCTATTGCGTCTTTTCATCATGAACATATTTTTAACAAATGTAAAACGTTAAAAATGGCAAAACTATACAATTGTAAATATTACTGATTCTGTACCGTTGATGATTTCTGACAGTAATTATGATTATGAAAACATCCTCATTAGCATTTTAGAAGATGTGATAGAGCCCTGTTGCAGCATAAATGAGTCAGCTCGCTTTTATGTTTGTAACAACTCGAATCAACGAAATCGAAATCAACTCGAATGTAACAACTTAGGATATTTAATTAAAAATTAAAATTTTTGTACAACCGACTTCAATATACATTATTAAGTATAACTCAAAAAATAATCATCGAAATCGGTTCACCCAGAAAAAAAGTTATGAGGTAATTCACATAAAAAAAGAAAAACATAAAATCGAATTGCGTACCTCCTCCTTTCTGAATTCGGTAGAAAATCTCATTCTATCATTATCAATACAATACAATACAATACAATAACTTTATTTCAGGCATCAAGGACTTAAAAATTAAGAACATTGGCCCATAGCAATATATACCTTAACCTAAAAATATATATAAAATATAGACATAACACAATTTAGGGAACTTTTTTCTTTGGCGCGTCCCTGTATCGGCGAAACACTACCCCAGAGGGCCAGAAATCGGGAGCGAGGAATGTCTCTTTATGTTTTGCAGGAACCTGGAGTACGTAGGATTTGAAGTTCGTTGACCTATTAGACTCTAGACGCTGCAAATGTAAAGAGATCGGATCCTCAATGCGGCATCGGCTTCGTTCTTCCACGAAGCGCAGGACGTCTTCTTCCGACGTACTTTTGTCCAAACGGGAGATGTAGAGTTGTATGGTTGGCTCCACAGCACGCAGAGTTGTACTCGCGTTTATTTTCGCGGTCCCACGCTGGTTACAGACGGGTCGCGACCGACGTCACTTCTCAACAAGAGTAAACCCGTCCTTATCAATCTTGTCTTGGGTCACCACTGGAACTGATTTTATTTCCACATTCTTCCGCTTTCGACCACAAGAGGGTGCCGGTTGTAAAGATTTTCGGGCAACATCCGCAAACGTCTTCCCTTGTTTTGAGGTTGGCTTCGGCGGAGGAGTACCAATGGGTTCAGTCAAGGGTTGAGGTGGTGATGCAATGACGACCGAGGTCGCCCTAGTTTCTCGGTCATCAACCCGCTGACAGACGGTATCGCGTGACGGAGTCGCAATCATCGGTGAAATATGACTACTATTACGGTTACCGCGTGTCGTATTCACATTCTGCGACGGCGGTGAATTTGCAGATGTTGCAATTATGTTGCGCAACATATTGACTTCGTTCCTCAGCTCTGTTGCGGCTCGTTCTGATTCCTCAAATTTGGAACGGATGTCGGTAATATCGGCTCTCAACGTGGTGATGTCTTTCAACAATCTGGTGACGTCTACGTGATCGAACGTCACGGGAGGCAGCTTGTTGAGATCACGCGCGACGAAAGTTGGGATGTCATCAGGGTCGGTCTCATTGAACAGCCTGAAGATGTCTTGCAGGTCTTTCTTACCGCGTCCATCCCTGTGACGTGTGATAAGACGGATTTGGGTCACGGCTGAATCTGCTAACACCTTCTTCGCTTGGATGATATCGTCCTCGGTGAAGCTTGTCATCAGTATCTGCTTCAGAGACACCTGGTCCATGACGTCCAATTTTTGTTGAACAAAGGCCAGCAACTCGTGGATTACGACGGTTTCGGAACGTTTAGGTTGACACGCCATTTCGAATTATTTTTGCGCAGTAGGTATGCTTACGCTACAAAAATACTGTAAGTTCGGCATTAGAGCCGTCACGTCATTATGAAGCGACTGCACTAACCGGTAGTAGAATTGCGACTGAAAATATTCTACTTTCAGTAAATGTCACGACTATATTCATTTTTATTAATAACTTATGTTGTTTTTATTTATGTCTTACTAATATAAATATTAATAAATAAAAGTGGCGGTAACGTCTAAAATTTGTAGAACAAAGATATTATATACATATATATTTTAAATTAATTATAGTTTGTATTTACATTAAAATCAAACACTTTTATTTATAAGTATTGCTATGCTAGCGGTGAAAGAGAATTCATAATATCGTTTTCCAGAGGAGTCGTGACAGATGGATACATATAGCACGATAAAAATATAGCTTATATGTCAGTTCTAAAATACCGAAACCGTTGATGGCAACAATTCATCAACTGGAACTGACACATATAGATGGTTTACGAGCTGACGAAATAGAAGAATTATCAATAATAAAACCTATTGCAAAATATGACTTACCCGATCGCAACCAACCTAAATGTAATTTTAAAACGAAAATAAACGAATACAGTAACAATTTACTAGCCATGTCGGGTGTTACAACAAATGTGAGCGCATGATTTGAAGCAACTATTAGTTTTCCTTGTGATATATTTATAAATAATAAATCGCCTTTTTTCCTCATTTGATAACAAATAAAACATACGTACAAATTTGATTTTGCAAGACAAAATGAACAAGCCTTAAAATCTATACAAATAAATAAAATTGAAGTGTCTGTTGTAATATCAAAATAACAGCGTTTTACTAAATGCATATGAAAGTATATACGGTACTAATAACAGAACTATATTTAAAATTTTTGTCTATCTGTCTGTTTCTCTGTCTGTTTGTTCCGGCTAATCTCCGAAACGGCTAACCGATTTTGACAGGACTTTCACTGGCAGATAGCTAATATTATAAGGAGTAACTTAGGGTCCATTCTTTTAGAAAAAGAATAAGGGTTCCTTGCAAAAAAAATTAAACCCATGAAATTCAATCTTAATAATTTCCACGCGAACGAAGTCGCGGGGGATAGCTAGACTTATAATATAATCCGGGAGGACATATATGAACATACGTGATATTAGAATTTTAACTGCTTTAAGATTGATTAAAAATTATTAAGTCTCTGCTGATTCTCAGTTTGTTAGAAGAGCGCAAATCAAAATACTTAAATAATATAAAATTAAAAATTTTGTACAACCGACTTCAAAATAATTATTGAGAATATGTCAAAAACTATTGGTCAGACTTTGAGCAAATTTGTATGGGACCACATTAGAAGTACCAACTCGAAATCGGTTCACCCAGAAAAAAGTTATGAGGTAACACACATAAAAAACAAACAGTCGAATTGAGTACCTCCTCTTTTTTGAAGTTGGTAGATAAAACGGACTCTGCTTTCGACTTCATAATTTCTGTTCCACGAAATAAGTCATTTGGCGCGGAGCTACTGTCGTCGCGAAATTTCAGATCTGCCATTAAATTTTTTCATTATTCTCAGGGTAACCTCTATATTATTATATTGCCGACATAGATGTACAGCGGTGATTCGTTGCGGCACAAATATTTCATGACACGCTAATGACACGCCTATTGTGCCATCAGCCATGTGTAAAAATAATTATCTTTTTATGCTTTTTTCACTTGTTTAGACCTAATTACGTTTAGTTGACATCAAACATCAGTTACAAACAGAAGGATACTTGTTTTTAGTGGGTAACTACGTGTTTTTCTACGTGCTTTCTTTGAAATTGAGAAAGAAAGAAAGAAAGAAAGAAACATTTATTTGCACAGAATACAGGTGGTACCAGATTTAACAGCGGTGCATAGTTCATGCTATATTCTGCCTTTAATAGGCATGCAAATATTTATAATTATATAAAACAATTAAAATACTATTATGTTACTTACAAAAATGTGAAGTTATGTTAGTATTTATCATAAATTATATACAAAATATTATTATTATTATTATATATTATTTGTTCGCGCAAAACGTTGATGTCGGAGTCGACACCAGATGTCACTCGGCTCGGCGCGATTCCGGTTTGAACTTCGGCTGGGGCGTGGCACGAGCGCGCGAGTCGCGAGCGAAAAGTCAGTCGTCCATAATCGGTGCTGACGTGAGCACGCGGTCCATTCTGTTAGGGAACTCGGAATAATTCGGCGCGGCCAGTAAATATACGGTCTATCATTGTGACGCGCATTCCTACTGGAGAGCTTCCCGGGACTTATTGTGTCTGACTCAAAACCTGCATAAGTGCATTCGGCAATATTAGATAGTTTTTAACAGTGGTAGAGTCACGCGGCAGCTTTTTCTGTCGCACGGATGGGCCGGCTCAAACCGGGGTGGTACCACGACCTCACAGAATACCAGCGTGAAGTAGAGGTTTGCGTTTCGCTTGGTGAGTGCAGGTGGCCGGAGGCCCTTTTTACTAGAAATGAGGCGTTCCATCTTAGTCCTCACGGGTGATAACGCATCTACATTTTGATTCGTAACAGAGGATAGATGTAGATGTCTATGGGCCGCAGCAACCACTTACCATCAGGTGGACTGTGTGCTCGTTTGTCACCCTTATCCTATAAAAAAAAAAAAAAGTGCGGCCTCTGATTCTAGAATTAACTATTGCTACGCGAAACGGTAGTGATCTTTGACCCTTTAAACTCCGTGTGCGTTTGTGCGGTAACCATTATACCCAGCGATAGTTAGTGGCATCTGTAAGTTAGTAAATCGTACGATAGAGTAAATTGACTGTCAACGTGACGAAAGAAGAAAGTGACTGTGGATAACCTCGAAAGGCCCCCTCAAGTGGGAGCGGTGTCGACGCTCGGGCTGCTGCCGACGGCCAAGGTCTAGGTTCAATCACCATCAGTCACACCCAGATACACACCACATCACCATTCTTTCCCTTGCACTACACAACCACATGTGACCTGACCGACTCCGGAGGGACCAGTCGCCTTGGATAGGTAAGTAAGCTTCATCCAAATTCCTTCCGGTCGACTGGCCGTAGTATAACGCTCCCCCATATATTTTAATGTAATTAGGAACTTCCACGTGGCCACATTAAGGCCCGACCTACGTCTGTTCGGGAGGTCTTCAGCTCATGGGCCTCTGAAGATTGGATCCTTTAAGGGAGCAGCCGTAGGCCGTAACAAACTGGTAGCAGAGCGCGGTTCCGGGTTCGATTCCCCGGTTGATCCCGACCATAGTGTTTGATAAAAATTAAACAATTCTGGTGGCAGGGAGCGTTGGTTTGATTGGTTTAATTTGTATCTACAATCACGCCCGTCCGTAATACGTAAAAATATTTTTTGTACGTAATAATAGAATTATTTCCCTAAGTTGTTTGTTGCTTGCCTTTTTTTTGGTTAGTAGGTAGATTTGAAAAGCCGCGCCCTAGGTTGCGCAAGCGGGAGTTTTCTAGAGATATACGTCATGTAGGTAGATGGTTATTTTTACGTAATCGGTTAATTATCGTTGTCGGATAGTTGTAGTGGATTACTTATCGAAGGTTCGATTTCCGAGCTAGGCATTTTTTGTTGATCGACCGTGATGTGTATCTTCGTTTATACTGTAAGTTGTATTTGAACTAAAGAGTAGTAATTGTATTTACGCAATTTGAATTTAACTTGATTTGATCGCACTAGTATTTGTTATTTGTTAATTTGATTTGTGCCTTTTCTTTTGTGCTAACTTGTATTTGGTTGATACGTAGTAATTCGTATTTGTGTAATTTCTATTCAACGCGATTTGATAGGAACTGCATTTATTAACTGTTAATTTTTGTTGTATTTTTTGTTTGTTATCTTTGTAATTTGTGCTCGAGCCGCGTCGTAATTTGTATTTAATAGTGATGACATCGCCCAAGCTACTGATCCGTTGTTTGCGGACTGAGCTACGCTGGGCCACAAGCGCCCATGCTTTGATAGGTCGACCGGATAGGGTCCATAACTTGATGAAGCAGTTCGAGCAGGTGGATGCTCGAAGGGCCGCAGTGGAGGAGGCTTACGCTGAGCTCGAGGATTCGGATGTGGAGAAGGGAGTCCTGGACTCCTGCTTCGCGGACTATGAGCAGTTCTTGTGGCTCACAGACGAGTTGATCGAGGCTGAAGGCAGGTATGCTGAGGAGGCGCGTGAAGCTCGGATGAGTGACCTGTCCGAGTCCTCTCTGAAGCAGCTTCAGCCGGAGCTGTTGGGACGACTCCCAACTCTGGACCTGCCAAAGTTCTCCGGGGTCCTTTCCGAATGGCTGACCTTCGTTGGTCTTTTCGACAGCCTAGTGGACGCCCGGAGTGACTTGACCCCGAGCCAAAAGATGGCGTACCTCCTGGCCTCACTGGAGTGGGAGGCCCTGGGCGTCGTCGGCCACTTGAGATTGTCGGACGACGCCTACCAGACTGCTCGGGACCTCCTAGCCAGAAGATACGCCAACGTCCGGCGAATTGCGGACGAACAGGTTAAGCAGCTTCTAAGCCTCCCGCTGCTTAGTGACCGGGCCAGACTGCGTCCGGACCTGTTGGATCCAGTCTTGGTGGCCTGTAATACGTTGAGGCGGCTGGAATTACCAGTGGGCGAATGGGCTATTTTGTTGCTCCGCATCGTGCTGTCTCGTCTACCTCTCGACCTTCGAATCCATTTTGAGGAGAGGTACGGCGGGGACGAGGCCTCCTATATTCCGCCCTTCTATGACCTGCTGCGGTTTTTGGAGGAGCAGTGCCGGCAGATCGAGAACGCGGCGGGCACTGTTGACGACTTACGAGACGTGCCCAGTGAGAGGCTGAATCCTCCAGGCAAGTCGTCGTCAACCCCCCCCCCCCCCCCTGCTCATATTGTCGAGCGTCTGATCATCGGGTAACGTCGTGCCCGAAATTATTAGGTAAGCCGGTTCCAGCGAGGCGAACTATCGCCAAGGAGC